CGGGGTATCGGGCGGCATTTGGGCGGCCGCCCCCCCCCCCCGGCTGGGAGCGAAGGCCCCCCCGCCGAATTGCCGCCGCAGATCGCGATCGCGGCCGCGGCTTTTTTTTTTTTTTTTTTTTTTTTTTTTTGGCTTCTTGGGGCGGCCAAAACCCTGGAGCCGGCCCTGCTGACAGATGAAGCAAGATGACCGAAAGGAAAAAACTCCCAGCCTGTTTTCAAGTTGTCACTGCATGAGAAACTGGTAGAATGTTTCACACCTGGGGCATTTTCTCAAAGGTCTTAGAAGGAGCCCGGCATCCGCTGGCTGTTAAACTGACCTTGTATGACATTTTGCTTATAAACGTGCTGCAAGTTTCCCTCCATCCATAACATTTTATCCTAATGGATGGGCACAGGACTAGGAGTCAGGAGACTTGGCTCTAGTTGTGTCGTAGAGGAGCCCTAGTTTAAGTGAGTTTGTGTGGGGGAGAAAGTAGACAGAGCATCATAAAATAAAAAGCAGATAATCTAACACACCCCAGGCTAATCTCGCGATGAATCTCACTCAGTGGGCTTCAGGCTGCCTTGTTACTAGTGTGGAAGATTACTTACAGCTCGGCGCTGGTAGGTAGTTTAGAAAGGTTTCCTCCACCTCACCGATCCCCCATGGTGTCTGTATCTCCTCCAAGCCACATCCTCCTCTGTTAGTACAGCTCACTGGTCTCTGGCCATGTGACGATGGCCATTGTTATCTCAGCCAATCAGAAAGAGCCCTATGGCCCGGTTTCCAAGTTCAGTTTCCCATTAGCATTTGGGCCTTGCATCAGGCCACGGGTCTGAATCCCTTTGGGATGACTTTGCTTTCATTCATTTTCCCCTTGTCTGCCCAGAGAACTATCAATGGGAAAAAATTTGCATGTGGATGCAGGGTGCTTCTCCCCATTGAAAGATGGTTGGTACCCGTGGCACTTCCTAGTGCTCATAGAGCACTATTTATCAGTAGCTCTCAAACCACTTCATAAAGAGAGATCATTATCCCCTTTTTACATACACAGGGGGCCCAGCAAGGTCACCCAGCAGGCCAGGGGCAGAGCTGGAAATAGAGCCCAGGTTTCTCAAGTCCCAGTCCAGTGCCACAAAGCACACTGCCTCACTGTGGAGACAAGTGCTGAGTTTTGTGAGCATAACACTTCCAGATCACTCTTGGGCTGGCTTTTTGTTTTGCCTAATAACCCTCAATCCATTTCAGGAGAACTTTTTTGGTATGAAGAAAGGCAAATCTTTAATCTGTGGGCCTCAAACCTCCCCTTTGCCCCCGTACGAATATTGTGATGGTTGGGATCAGTGGGGGCACTTGAACTTGCAAACGCACTCGATTTAAAGGGCAGGGGTCACGACAGGACATTTTCAGTGATTGGTTCTTGACTGTGGAATTCACTCTCTCCCATTGGCCCAACGCAGTTGGGATCTGTTGATGTTTCCAGTCAAACTGCAAGTAGTCTTTTTGTTGTGTAGTGAGCTGACTGGGATATAGGTGGTTGTGGAAGAAGGCTTGTTTGTGTGTTGTGCTGGGATATTTCTTTTTGGTTGCTGATCCACACGAAATTTGGACCAAGTGTAAATCATTATAAGGCTCTAGATTTCTAGAGCTGCACTTCTAATGAATCGCAGGGAATAAGCTAGGGGGAAGAGTAATAGAATTCTGTTCCATTGCTTCCCTTCCCCAGTTCAATCCTGGTAGAATTCTTTTCCTTAGGACTTCCTGGTGGACAACCTATGTCCTGACGACGAAAAGCCTGTATCAGTGAATGGAAACATGAGATTACTGCAGCACTAATAATGGAAACAAATTGTCACACTTTACATTGAGGTTCCATTTATAAATGGTTTATAAAGAGTTAGTAGGTGTTATAAGTATGTTACAGACATAACAATATGTTAGAGATCGTAATAAGCGCATCAGAGGAGAGCGATATAGATGTTTATAAGCTACCTATTGACTTGTTGGATTCTGTAAAACGCTATAGCAATTGATTAGCCTCTATTAAAAATATATTAGTTAACCTTTATAAATGGAATCTTAATATATAGTGACTCAAAAATATTAGCTGCAAAGGATTATAATTCATATTTATTCTTTACTGTAATGCCCATGATCTGCTAGGTGCTTTCCAGACATATAAAACACTCAGAGAGGCTCAGTCTAAGGATGGACAATTGGACAGGTAGATAGACGTCAAGGAAGGGGATTTTCTGGGCAAAGCAACAAGATGTGCTATAATCTGGATTTCTGCTCTTGTACCTGGGCAGCCTAGAGCAGGATTTCTCAACCCGTGGGTCAGGACCCAAAACTGGATCTCCAGAATGTTTCAAAGGGTCACATAGCAGCTCCTGTTCCACGGGGCTAGCTGGGCTCGCCTCTCTGCTCCAAGCATTGCAACTTCTGGGGTCCCAGCGCCACTCAGGTTTAACCCAGCTGTCATGATGATGGGAGGCCGGGTAGGCCAAATTTGAGTGAGTGGCCCTGCAATCCTATGAGCCAGGTCACAACTCTACTCTCACGAATTTGGTCCAGTCAGGGGGGCAGAGCCAAAACTGAATGACACTGCAACCCTGGAGGTTGTAACACCTGGAGTGGAGAGCCACGCCAAGCCAGCCCCACAGCACAGGAGCTGCAGGAGTCATTCAGCCCGGGACCGGGACTTGGACTCTGCATTTCGGGACTGTCCCACTCAATTCAGGACAGGTGGTCACCCTATTTCACATGTGCTTAACTTTACTCATCAATTAGGCCCATGCAAATCAATACTTATGAAAATTAGGTCCTAAGGTTCAGATTCTTCATTGCTTTGCCCTGTGTCATTTGCACCCGTGCAAAGTGAATGACTTTGCACTCCTTTTGCAGGGGCTACAAGGTGCAGGACCATGGTGAATCAGGCCCCTAGTGTCTCAAGTTGAGTACCCAAAATCACTGAACTCTTTGAAAATGTTGAGCCTTTGTCTCTGTCTGTAATATGGGATAATGTTCATTCCTTACTGGGGGGTTGGGAAGAATCCTTAGTTAATGTTTGCAGAGCGTCTCCAGAATGCCCCACATGGGCTAAGTGTTGTTATTAAATCAGTGTTCATTTCGCTCTGGTTAATTTTCTGCCTATGCCAAAAAACAAAACAAAACAAAAAAATCCACTACTGCCCAGACGTGGAAATAATTAATGTTTATTTGGATAAACACAAATTATGTAACACAGCAGAGAAAAGGCTTTTGAAAAAATATGTAAATGAGATGGCAGCCATCAGGAAGTAATGGAAGGACAGGCAGACTACAATGTTGCCAATTATAATGAAAAAAAAAATTTTTTTTTCAGTCTTTACTCTGTACAGTATTTGAAACTCTCCTCGGGGTTTGACTAAACTGTACTGGAAATACCATCTGTGGCTCAAAAGTCTGGCCAGCAAGGGACGGTGACCGAGAGATTCATAATGAAGGCTTTTATGTAGAAAGTTATTGGGCACAGGGATTGTACCGAAAGAACTGTAAGTTCAGAGTTACAAAAGCTCTTCTTGGAAAAATATCAGATGCTGCGTTAGGAACCCAGTCAAAAGATATTCCTAAAGGAACACTGTGGACTGGCAGAGGCTACAAAAAGTACAAAAAGTGTGGCAGAGGAGGGGAGGAGAAACAGAAGGTAATGAACAGTGATGTCCCCTGAATGCCAGTAATAAATCTTTCAGTTTTAAGG